TGCTTATCAGATGATATCACTAAGAAAATAAAGGTGAGGTAAATACTTGGACTTACATAGAGAGTAGATAAAGAACTGCCATAAAATAATTAGAAAAATGTAAACACAATAGAAGAAAGTGAGCAAAGATTGAAACCTGCACTTTGTAGAACAGATATCTAAATAGCCAGTAAACCTAGAAAAAGATGCTCCATATCATCAAACATTGATAATTACAATTGTAGTGAAGCCAGGCATGGTGGTGCACACCTGTAATCCCAGTGACTCAGGAGGCTGGGTCAGGAGGATCACAAGTTTAAAGCCAACTTTATCAATTTATTAGGGTCCTAAGCAATTTAGTAAGACTCTGTCTCAGAACAAAGAAAGAAAGAAAAGTCCCAGGGAGGTAGCTCAGTGGCAAAGTGCCCCTGGGTTCAATCCCCACTACCAAAGTGGAAAAAAAAAAAAAACCAACATGTAGTGAACCAACAAACACATGAAAAATGCATCAGTGTCATTAGGAAAATGCAAATATGAAAAAGAGATACTACCTCATAACTAGGATGGCCATAATTTGAAGTAAGGGAAGGGAAGGGATAGGAAAAAGGGAAAATAACAAGTTTGACAAGGTAGTGGAGAAATTGTAACCTTTTTACTTTGCTATTGAGGATGAAAAATGGTTAGGCTGCTGTGGAAAATAGTTTGGCAGTTCTACAGAAACGTTAAACAAAGAATTACCATGTGGCTCTGCGATTGCACTCCTAGGTCCATGCTTTGAAAAATTGAACATGGGAACTAAGACAAGTACATGTGTATACACTATTCATAATAACCAAGAGGTGGAACGAACCCAAATGTCTATCAATGGGTGAATGTATATGTAAATTGTAATATATACATATGTAATATCATTCATCCATAGAAAGGAATGAAGTACTGTTATATGCTACATGTGAAGGGACCTTGATATTGTTATTCTAAGAAGCCAGACACAAAAAGATACATATGGAATGATTTCTTTGATATGGAATATTCAGAATTGATCAGTAGAGAGAAAATATAGACTGGTTACAAGGAACTGGGACTGGCGGTAGGGAGATGGGGAAAAACTGAACTGCTTAATGGACAAGAGGTTTTACTTTGGAATGATGGGAAGGTTTTGGAACTAAATTGCTACTGAGTTTTTCTTTTTAAAAATAGTTAATTTTATGTGTTTTACCTCAATAAATAATTTTTTAAACAACTGTGATACTATAGTCCACCCACCAGGATGGGTGAAATTAAGACTGTCATTTACAAATGTTGGTGAGGAAGTAGAGGGACTGGAATTCTCTTACGTTGTTGATAGGAATATCATTAAAGCTAAATATGTGCCTTCTGACCCAGATTCTTCCCCTTGTTATATGCCAAAAAATGGGAATATATATGGCCATCAAAAGACATAAACAGAAATGTCCTTAGTAGCTTTTATTCATAATAGCCTAAAATGACAAATAATCTACATGGCTGTAAAAGTAGATTGGTAAATAAATTGTACTACATGTATACATGGAATACTACACAGCAACAAAAGAATGTGTGCCATACTCACAACAAAGGTGGATTCATAGAAATAAGGTTGGAAAGAAGCCATACATCCAGGAGTTGTTTATATTTTACTTAGGTGAAGTTCAAGAAGCAGTGAAACTAATCTATAGTGATAGATGTCAGAACAACATTTACTGGAGGTGGTTATTGATAAGAGAGCTTACGAGAGCCATCTGAGAAATAAATCTTCTCTGTCTTGATCTTAGAGGTGGTTACACAGATGTACACATTTGTACAGAATAATCAAGTTGTGTACTGCAGATTCATTTACTATATTGTATTATGTTTACCTTTAGAAAGAAACATTAAAAAATAGACAACAGTCACCAGAGCAGATGTTCTTGCAGGGAACCAGTGGAAGAGAATGCTTGAGAAGCGTAAAGTCACTGAAGGCCTTGAGTAGTAGTGACATGACAGGAGTCTGGAATCAGTTCTATAACTGTGGTAGGTTTGCAGGAGGGAAGTAACATAAAGAAAGCAGGATTTTTGGTGAAAAAGATCTGTGGAGATGTACCTGGTAGATTGAAGATGATCTACCAGGGGAGAGGCTTTTGCAGTAGGACCTTTTGCAGTAGATGATGCAATTGAAAATGGAGGCTCTGCAGGAAGGATTGGGAAGACTGGTGACTGACTTGTTGTAGATAGCAAAGGAGAACTGGGTAGAGGTGACTGAGATTCCATGTTAGATGATTGGAAAAAACATGGTCCTAGTAACAAAAATGAGAAAGTTGGGAGGAATCCACTTTGGAAGTAAGAGTAGTTTTAAATGCTTGAATTTTGAAATGTTGACAAGTCCCCTTGAGATAACTGAGGGACTCAGAAAAACAGTCAGGGCTGCTGACAGAAATTTGAAAGTCATTGTATACAGATTATTTTGAGTAGTTGAGATCCCTAAAAGAAAGAGTGTAATAGAAATGTCAGAAAGCCAACCCTTAGAGGAGGAGGGAGAGAGGAGACTACAGCTGTGTTTAGAACCAAGATAACATAGTGTTACTGAGGCTGAATGAGGAGTGAGTTGGAAGATGAGGATGTACAGGAAAAAGATAGAGGAAGGAAAAAGGAAGGTTGAAGATGTGCTGGGAAGCAGAGATGACTGAGAGGACACTGTCCTGAAGAAGGCAAGAGGAAGCAGAAGCAGAGCAAGAGCAGAGGACCTAGCTGTGGACTGCCATGAGGAGCCCAGCTGCCTGTAGTTACATCACTAGAATTTGTCAGCATCCTAAGTGTTCTTTGTCCTCTGAGTAGAGGAGTGACCTAGGGTTGAAGATGAATGTGAATATAGAAGCCAGGGAGTCCTAGTTTTGGGGTTCCATTGTGGGTTCTGGTTTTGGCAGTGGTTTTAAGTGTCAAAACAAGTGACTTTAGGTGTTTTGAGTCCTGACTTTGTCATTTTCTAGCTGTGTGACTTCAGACAAGAGTATTAGTTCTCTAAGCCTCTGTTTCTTCATTTGTTAAATGGTAATAATACCTACCTCATATGTTGTTTTGGAAACAAGTGAGTTAATTCAAGCAAAGAGCTTGAAACAGCCCATGATCAGTGTTAGCTCTGATCATGATGGAGCGTTGTAGGAGCACAAAGGGAAGAATTAACAAAGGCTGGAGTTGTTAGGAAGGCTTTGTGGAGAAGGAGGGGTTTATTTAATAGGCAGGAGGAAAGGAATGAGAGAAAAAGAATTCAATGTGGGGGGATATTTATAAATAAAGGATCAATAGAGCCATAACATTTTATTTGATTTCCTTAATGTACCAGTCTGTTGCTTTAGGGGACTAATAGGAGATATGATAGGATGTGGGTAACTGATTATTGTTGTAATAAAAGAAGTATGAGATGTCAGAGCTCTTGGCTGTGACTTTTAATCCTGGCCCTGGGACTTTGGGTAAGCCGTCTCTTAAGATCCCTTCTCATCTACAGAATGGAATGACTGGACCTACATGTCTTGCAGCTCTAAAGTCCTATGCAGTTATTTTTCTGGCCCCATCTCCTGTCTGTGGAATGTTTTTCTCTGCAGCATGAGGCTAACGATGTGGACCTACCTGGGATAAGTGTGTTGTTCTGGCCTTATCAACCCTGGAGTAGGTGAAGTGCCCAGCCCACATACAGATGCTCTAGGCTGCACAGCAGCACCCTGCAGTCACCACCAATAGACAGAGCCTGGGGTGTGGGTGGGATGGGGGTAGGGATGGGGGTTACAGAGCAGGTGGATTCACGAAAGGAGTTCTCAGAAATTGCACTCCCAAATTACTTAGAGTTAATTCTACTACCATTCTCTTGAGGAACTTCAAGTTTTATGGATTCTTGCCTTGAAATGGACCCTGAGGGCTAAGTAGGAGGGAAAAGAATTGTTAACCTTTTAAATTTTTTCCCAGGTTGTCCTTTTAGAGCCCACAAAGCTAATGGAAGAAAGTGGCACTTTGAGCATCAGGTGAGCTGCCAGACTCTGTCTATGTGTTCTGGCAGGAACTGAGCACTGTTGCTTTTGCCACCAGAATTCCTCCATTTAAAGCTTGTATATGGATAACCCGGCTTTTCAAATACCAGGCTTAGAAGTCCCCAGCTCCTGTATGGCATTCAGTCTTTCATTTTAGAAAAGAATTTTGGGTTGTTTCTCCATTTCACGCCTCATACTTTGGACTTGAGCCCCTCTGGGGGTCTCCACCATGGCAGGACAGAACAAGCTCTCTGGAATTCTACTCGCACTTGCTTTTTCTCATTGCCAAGCAGGAGGTATTTATAGAGAAGTGTCTGCCCTCACCACAGAAACCATGTTTAGTGTTTGTCTCAGGCAGGAGCTTTGTCTTAGAAGAAGATACTTATGGACTTTTATAGTGGATAGATTTTAAGCAACTTGGTAAATTGAAAAATAACTTGAAGTGGAAGGACTAAAGCAGACAGAAGCTATTGTATTCATTTTTTGTGCCCACAAAGTTTCTAAGGGCTAATTTTGTTTTCAGCAAGTGAAATTTGAGAAGAGGAGCAACTTATCCTTGTGTTGCCCTTAAAGAGGACTGCTTTTTGGGGAGTGGAGATCCAGGAAAGGAAGGTGACCTGAGCATATAAGGCCACACGAGTTAATATATGCCCAACAGAATGTTAAATATGCCTTATTAATTTAGAATAGAACTTCCCTGAGGATAGGGAATACTTCATTTTGTTGTCTATGGTTTCTAACAGTAAGTTGGATCTAAGTAAATGTAACAATTGCTAGCAACCCAGGAGTCTCCTATCTTTCCATTTGCCAGGCTGATCATTCTGTGAGGGGTGATTATGAACATTACCTAGTCCATTCACGCCACAGATTTCCTGAAGAAAAAAGAAGTCATGGAAGAGACTGTGTTGCAAAGGTTGTGAATAGGGTTGAGAGTGAGATGGTTTAGTCTGGCCTCTTTTTAGAACAGTGATTGATTAATGCTGTCTGTGTTGCTGTTTCTTCTAGAGCTGACCTGTCCTGGAAGCAGCATAACTAACGAAGCTGCTGCAGGATGAGAAGATGGCAGCGCGGCTGCTTGCACCACCAGGCCCTGATAGTTTCAAGCCTTTCACCCCTGAGTCGCTGGCAAACATTGAGAGGCGCATTGCTGAGAGCAAGCTCAAGAAACCACCAAAGGCCGATGGCAGCCATCGGGAAGACGATGAAGACAGCAAGCCCAAGCCAAACAGTGACCTGGAAGCAGGGAAGAGTTTGCCTTTTATCTACGGGGACATCCCCCAAGGCCTGGTTGCGGTTCCCCTGGAGGACTTTGACCCATACTATTTGACGCAGAAAGTGAGTTGGAGGAGGTGCAGCCGCAGATGCCCCTTTCCTAAAAGGCTGTGGGAGGTGGGGAGAAAGAGCTGTGGCGTTTTGTCAGAGTGGGGAGAAGAGAAGTAGTTAGCTTTTTTTTGGTTCTGATTTTCAGGGGTTGTTTTACCATTTAGTTGCTGGTAAGGATCATTTGTGGATCTTCTTGTCAACTCTGTTAATAGGACTTCTGGTATTGGCTTCAGGTCAGATCAGAAAAAGAGGACATAGGGATTGTGGGGTAGCTCAGTGATAGAGCACATGCACAAGACCCTGAGTTCAATAGCCAGCACCAAAAGGAAGGAAAAAGAATATTTATTAGTGTCAATAAAAAGAAGAAAAAGAAGATAATATAGTATAGCCCTGTGGAATCTCTTAGACACACACATTTGAAATTCTGTCTTTAAATATAAAGAAGATGTTACTATTGCAAATCAGCAGAGTCTGTGGTTAATATAGTGGAGAGGATGGGTTTGCTCTCTTGTACGGTCCCTTTTGTGACATTAGAGCATTGCTRCTGGGGACAGGAATAGAATAAAGCACTCTGAGCCAAAGAGGAGGACTCCAGGTCTTTGGTCTTGTTACATAGTTGTCTGGATGGATTCTTGCAGCAAAGTCAATTCTGTTCTTCCTGTAGTAGGAAACACAGGTGAAAGAAATACCAGTCTTCCTTTGGCCAAGGGTTTCAGACTTCCCAAATACTTGACTAAATCTTAGTTTTCTTTCTCATAGTTATCTACTGAAACAAAGCAACAGATAGAGAAGCAAAGCCTCCAAGATGTTTCACCAGCTAACCAATTAGCCATTGAATCCTGAGGGCTAACATCAAATACATTTTAGGGGACTGCTATCCAACAGATGCCATTTAAAGAATTATAAAGAATTAGATTGATAGGTTTTATATTTACAATATAAAACTTAACTAAACTGTCTCTGTTAACAAAACTGCCCTTAATTAAATTGCATTTTTGTCTTTCAATTTGAGAAGAAAGTTAAGCTTTTTTGACTTGAAAATGGAATAGAAGTAACAGATTTAGCTATAGCTGTGGAGGCATTTTTAGTTTGGGATGACAAAAGGAGTTTAAGACAGCTCTACACAAAATGGCTCTTTACCCAGGTGCTTCTGTTCCTGCGTAGAGTAGTTACATAGTAAGAAAAAAATGGAACCAGTGGTCTAAATCTTTCCAGTTTAAGAAATATAAAGAACAGTAGACTGGAAGTAAGGAATTTTGACTCTACAATAATTCACTGTTTATTATTTACTTTTTAAAATATGTATTGTCCAAGATACCACAAATAATTTATATGGGAAAAATTACACGAAGGAAAAAAACTTCACAAAAGGATTCATGACTGTTAGCAAGTCCCTTTATCTCTCTGGGTCTAAACTATTTATTTTTCCAACTCATATACAAACTAAACTTTGTTTTGTTGAACCTGACTTAAGATTTGAAAAATATATAGATATATTAGTTCTCAGAACCCATTTTCCCTTCTGTACCCTCTGGTTCCTGCCCTGTTGTTTCTCTTTCCTCTTCCAATGCCTCAGTTTTCAGTGGTCTGGATTGCAAGTGAGAACTCTTCAAAGAGAGTAGGTCTCCGGCCCTGATGTGTGTTATTCTTTGGATAGGCCAAATTGTTGATGTAGCTCTATTATGGGACTGGCTCAGCATGATAGAAAGTCTGACTYGAGCCTTTGGCTTTGCCACAAAGGTAAATTGTCCCTTGAAAGGATAACCTTAGTTGTAATTTTTTTTTGGGGGGGGGGCGGGGGGTACTCTTTAAAAAACTGTTTATAAAATACAAACACTCAGTTAATGATTATTGTAAAACAAACAACACCTATAGTTGTGTAGGCATTAAGAGAAAGAAAGCTCTGCTAGCATTTCAGAAGTATTTATTGTACTTTTACTTACTTTTCTATTTATTTTTATGGTGCTAGAGAACAAACCCAGAGCCCTGAGCATGCTAGGCAAATGCTCTGCTGCTGAGCTACGACCCTCAGCCCCCACATTGTACTTTTAAGTGAGGAATTTTTCAGTTGATTAAAATTAATGTGCTTCCTCGAGTTCACTTGCAAATCTTACTAGTATTACTAATACTTCTTACTAATTAGGCCTTGCACTATGCTAAATTAGCAGGGCCTCTCCTACAAGGAAGCACACTGGGAATTAACCCACAAATCAAACATTCATGAAGGTAGAAGTGACTTTAAGAGGACATTCCTTTCTGTTTGCGTTTCAAGGGCTGCCTTAAATAAATCTTAGCAAAATATTATCTCTTTTCTGTGCTAAATGATACAAGCAGAATCCTTTATCTTTTTCTCAGGTCTCATTTTCTAACTAATAAATCATTTTTATCACTTTCCCAGAAACTTGTTTTTTCATTCCTTCCCTCTTTCTTTTTTGGGGGTAAGAGAGAACCAGTTTCCTATTATTTTTAAGTTCTGGTGTCATCCCATTTTGGATTCCACATTCCTGAGGCACCCAGGGCCATGCAAGTTGTATAGCAGATTTTCAGGAAGCTGTTCTTTATTCTAGTTGGGGGCTGGTTTGGCCTGTCCCAAGCTTCTGAGATTCTTTTTGGGTTCCACAGAGACTTTTCCAGCTGGTCACTACAACAACCTGGATCTTCCTCTCTTTGAATTCCTCAGACCTCCCAGTGCTACAACTTTACATTTTCTTTCCCTGTTGGTACTCTGTTCTAATGCCTCCTTTCTTTGGATTTCTTATTTTTCAATTGTTACAAATATTTGAGTTTAAGGGGCATTTAATAATTTTATTTGTTTACCATTTAAAATAGGTAATACGTTTAACTGGTTAAAAATTCAAAGGTATTTATTTGGTAAAAGTCTCCCTTTTATCCTTGTCCCTCATATGCCTTCTCCCTTAGTCTTCTGCACTGACAACCACTCATAGCAGTATCTGCCAGAGTTTCTTTATATATGTGTAAGCCAAAGCAAATACATATTTTTAAGAACTTGAACTCTTCTTTTTTCTTGCCCCCCCCCTTGACTATTTTCTTAGGCTCATTTAATTTTGGCTCCCCTTCTTTCAAACTATGAAGTCTTACCTATCAATTCTCAATTCATTTGCCTCCTCCCCCAATTTTTTTGGGGGGGATGTATAAAGTCAAGGACTGTTGAAAGTGTCCCTCTGTCTTCACTACAGAAAATACTCTCTAATGAATCATAATACTTGCTGAATTTTAAATACCCATATATATTCCTAATAACAATAATAGGCAACAAGAAAGTCTATGGATTAAGTTGAAAGAACGCCTTCCTAGCTTTCCTAGTTGATTCCTATTCCTTTTTCCCATTTCTTAGAACTGATAATTTGTGTGTTCTTTTTATTTATTAATTGTACTCTGTTATAAGAAAGTTCTATCAACAAAAATTCAAATTACAGGATTGATTGATGTGTCTCTAAATAGGGCACATTCCTGTTGCATTCAACAATTGTATATGGCTTCCCAAAGTTTTATTTTACCTTCAACTCTTCCTCTATTCCTTTGTCCACAAAGGAATCAGAAAATCACAGAAAATTATAATTTGGTAATCTTAGACATCAGCTAGATCAGCCTCTTCGTTTTATAAATTTTATGAGGTGAAGTACTTTGCAAAAGCCAGCACCACTCTTAGTAGTAGAACCAATCAGTATTAGAAATCAGGCCTCCCAACTCTACATACATTACAATGTATTTCTGTTTCCCACTTTTAAAATTTTATATTGGGCTGGGGTTGTGGCTCAGCGGTAGAGCACTCGCCTCACATGCACAAGGCCCTGGGTTTGATCCTCAGCACCACGTAAAAATAAATAAGTGAAATAAAGGTATTGCGTCCAACTATAACTAAAAAATAAATATAAAAAAAATAAAATAAATAAAATTTTATATTATTTGATCCTCAGCCTCAATTGGCTCAGTTCTTCTGATATTGGACAGTCAAAATAAAGAAGAAAAATGAACTCCTTTTCATTTACATTCCTAATAACCCCTGTGGTTTATAACTCTTCTTAGTCAGTTGAGTCCTAAAATATAAATGGGTAAGAGCTATGCCTCTGGGGGAGAAGGATGGTGGGCCAGCGGCCCTGGACAGGCTCTCCCAGAGACCCCGGCTCTTATCAACACAACTACAGTTATTCAGCCATGTGGTCTTCAGACAATTAACAACCTCTTCACTTATTGTTACTTTTCAAAGGAATATTCTCTCTCACCCACTATAATGCATCCCCAGTCTAAGCCAGAATATTATTTCAGAAAGAGCACCTACCTGGGAATGTAAAACCTTGGCTTTAGTTCCAGTTTGTCCTTGTTTGCCCTTAGGTGAATCACTTAAATTCTTTGGACTTCAGTTTCCTTATCTACAATATATACATAATAGTTGTACCTACAAATACATCTTTAATTGTATTTCACATTTATTGCACTTTGTGTTTGATTGCAGACTATTTTGTTCCTTTAGGGTTTTTCCGCCTTCGGGTCTTGTCCCCTCCTGGTGGAATGCACTCAGTTCTTTTCACTTCACTTTTTAGTATTCTACCAGTTCGTCCAGGCCTGGCTCAGAGATCTCCTTCCTTATGGCCCAACTTGATTCTCGTGCAACAGAACAGGTTCCTCCTTCTTCTCTTCTGAATTTTAGTAATATGCCCAGATCTTCAGCCCCACCTTAGAAAAGAAGATATTTTTAAGTTTCATTCAGTTTAGGTGTGGAGGGTAACAGTTCCTAACAGTCCTTACAATTTTCTTCTTACTTCACTAATGTTAGTGCCATCAGTTTCCTCAAATGAAAAACACTTACACATGTACACACAGGCTCATAAGTTCCTGGCAGAAAATCCTTGCCAAATTTGTTTTCACACACTTTCAACAGGTATGCAGCACAGAGACAGGCTATTAAGGGAAGATTTATGTTCATTCGGCATGATTTTGAAGTTTTGCTAATGAGTTGTTCCATTGCTTGTTTTTACACAATAAGTTTATAA